GCAGGAATTGATCACATGCCTAGGAAAGAGAATTTAAGAAGAGAAGGAAGCTCAGGAAAGATCTTTAAAGAATAATTTCACTTTTGTCTTTGAGACCAGGATGCTCTGATCTTTAAGGAAGACATAGCTCTCTTGAGAGCCCAGGCTGTGAGTTAAAAGAACAAATCCGCAGTATGAAGTTTCTCTGGTTCCTTCCTTATTACTCTCTTCCTGCTCATTTATGATTTTCTAAATGCCAAGTTCAGCAACCATTTCTCAGTGCTCACCCTCTGACATCTGCGCCATTTGACTTTGCTGATAATCTCTTTGTTCTTATTGTAGTTCTTGCTCTTTCCTTGATTTCCATGACCCCATGACCCCACTCTTTCCTGGTTTTCCTCCTATCTCTAGGATGACTCTTTGGCAGTCAGAGTTCAGGCAGTGATCTTGCTTCTCAGGGATTTGTGCCTAGCTAGATGGTTGGCAGGCAGGTGGGACAGGAATACTAAAAGGAAAAAGTGAAGAGATAATAATGATAACAATCACGACAATTTCAACAATGACCACCACAACAAAACCAGTGGCATACCAGTCATGGTTAAAATGCTGATGGAGACACAAGATTAGCTCAGTGGTCACCTTAGAGTTTATTTGCCTAGACAGGAGGAAGACATTCTGACATTCTATTGGCTTTTATCAGCCAAACTACGAACAGGAACTGAAGACCCAGGTCCTGTTCATAGGATGTTTATTTTTACATATTTCTAAGCTGGCCAGGTTAGAAAAGGCTTTCCTGTGATACATATGATAAAACAATGGTGAACAGAAATGAGATGAGGTCAGCACAAAAAATGGGTGACAGCCCTGATACAGAACAACATACAACTGAAGTTAAACCAAGCTATTAGGTTATCAGGTATGAAACGTCTAATTTCCTTATGCACTAAGTTTGACAGTTGATATCTCTGACTCTTCTCGTTTTATTTTTATTGTGAAAGTACATCCTCATTCTTTCAAACTCATGGTTTGGCTTGTGATTATCTTTCAAAAATTTTTAGAGCAATTTTTGCGAAACCATGGATAAGTCAAAAACTCATCTTATTTTCATATGCGAGTTCCATCGTGGAACCCATGCAGCACAGACACCTTGAAATATCAACTTAGTGTTTGGGAAGGACGTGGCTAATGAACACAAAGTACATTGAAGGTTTGAAAAGTTCCCGTTCTGGTGATTTTAATCTTGACAATGAGCCATTTGGGTGACTTGAGACCCAGGTGGATGACGATGAGCTGAAAGCTATAGCGGAAGGGAATCCATCTCAACCTACACGCGAATCAGCAGCAAGGTTCGACGTTACTATTCCAACAATATTGGACCATTTGAAACAAACCAGCAAGGTAAAGAAGCTGGATAGATGAGTGCCACCTGAGTTATGCATCATAAGAGAAAACGTCTCAAAGCTTGCATTTGCTATCACGACATAAGGTGGACCTTTTCTGCACCGTATTTTTACATGTGATGAAAAATGGATTCTTTTTGATAATCACAAATGTTCAGCACAATGGTTGGATAAAGTGCTGAAACACAGTCCAAGGCCAATCCATTACAGTGGATGTCTACTGCAATCATTGGAAAAAATGATGCGGATGCTTGTGATGGAGCAGCTGAGATTCGTCAATAGAGACAGGCCAATCCTTTTGTAAGATAACTTTCAACCACATGTCGCACAAACAGTGTTGCTCACACCATAGAGCTGGACTTGGAAATTCTCTGTTATCCACTGTATTCCCCAGGCCTTGCACCAGCTGACCACCACTTCATGCAGGCTTTGGACACTTCTTGCAAGGAAAAGTACTCAATTCTCAACAAGCTGTGGAAAATGCCTTTTGTCGTTTCATCGCCACTTGCTTTCCGGGCTTCTTTGCTGCTGGCATAAACAAGCTACCATTAAGATGGCAAAACTGTGTCGAAAGTTCTGGTGCATACTTAATTGTACTGCTTCTTGTTTGAGATATAATAAACTAAATTTTTTGATTCAAATTTGAACATTTCATATTTAATGACCTAACAAAATCATTACAGCTGCTGTTCTAATTGAAGTATGTTATCAAATATTCGACGTATCTTCTAGAGTGTCAGAGCAGTTCATAGATCCACATAAAAATCTTTATAATAGTACGAGAGACAAAAGTATGCAAGTTTAGTCTATAGTTATGCATAATTATTTTGTGCATATTAAATAAAATATATTTGACTATTTTAGAAACCTAATCTTAATTTTAAAACTAGTTGAAATTTATAACTTTTCAGAAAATACATTGTAACACTCTTATGCAACTAATAGCAGAATATCCCATAGCATGTGATCAAAATAGAAACACACACTATACCACCTTGTATGAGAATAAAATCCAGAATAAAAATGTAATCTTTTCTATTTATTCCTTTTAGAAAAACCAGAAGGAAGGACGGCAAAGATAGGAGAATGAGTCAGTGAGCTGGGTCTACGGCAACGATGCTTGTTCTGCAATGCCCAAATCATTTCTAGAACATGCCACTTTCATAGTACACTGATAAAGAAAGTCTTAGTAAAACCAAATCATTTCTAATAGCTCCTTTGCATTTAAAGTGAGGCCAACTTAGCTAACTCATATGAAGCCATGCTGACCCACATAGACACGGGTGTGCTAAAACTGAAATGCTACCTGAGGGGGAAAGTGCCACAGGACCGCCTCGGTTCTATTCCTCAGCTCACTCTTTGTTAAACTTCCCCAAGTCACGCTCATCTCTCAGCTTTCTCCTCATGCATGTCATATTTATCCATCTCCTCTCAACCACTATGTCAAGCTTCTGTACCTCTAGCAGCTCTTGAAATCCCCCTTTCTTCCAAGAAGTCCTCTTGACTTGCTGGAAGAGTGAGTAGTCCTTGAGCTACCTCATTTGAGTTCGGGGTTCTATACCTCTGCCCTCCACTCTGAGCCCCAAAGTGCTTACTTGCTCCTATGGTGTTAAACTTCACTAGCCACTGGCACTGGTGAGCTTTCCTCACGCTGTGTTCCTCGCCAACGGGCGTCAGAACGCACGTCCATGGGCGGGAAGGACAGGGCAGGGTGCGGCCAAGGAGCTATGGAGCCAGAGTGTGAGCCGTGAGTGTGAGCACGGCTGCCGCTCACCAGCCTTGCAGCTTGCGGGAGTCCCCAGCTCTCTCTAAGCCCTAATTTCCTCACCTGCTAAGTCGACACAGATGTACAACCTGGCCCTCAGGTGTCATGGAAGGCACTTCAGTGCGATGCCTAGCACATGGCAAGCCCCCGACAAACTCAAGCAGAAGGATCTGATCAACAAATACAGAGTTAACCAGAATTTAAGTACTTATTTTGATTGTTAAAACTGGACATATGAAAAGTTAGTTATATAGCTAATGAAAATGTTGAAGTAAAAGCACTTAGGGAAAAAAATCTCCCCTAAATGATATGTCACATTGAGAACAGATTTCTTTATTGCTGATAGTGTTCTATTAGATATTTAAAATAATACAAACATTTGGGATTACAGTTTTATAATTTAGTTTATAGTCAAGTTAGTTACAATACTTAACACCCGTAGGAGAGACCAGATTCTGTGTATTTAATAGCTTTATCAAGCACATTTATAAAACTTTCACTTCCAGTTTCTATGATTTCTCCCTTATACACCAAATGAACAAACACAACAAAGTTTACTTATTTCAAATAGTGGATACTGTATATGGCCAATACTTTAGATATTACGCTCCAAAATTACTTGTATTAATAAGGACATTAACTTCAAAGGGATTCTATAATACCCATAGAAAAATTTCAAAACCCTGCCAAGCTGACTACCAGTAGAGAAGTGCTCAGTTTTCAGATGCAACTGGCACGGTGGAGCAAGGTAGGGAAGATGACTCTGAGAGAGGTCACCATGACCTGTCCCTACCCCGGCAAGCCAAGCCATCAGTGAGGTGGGGCAAATGGACACGGCTGATCTGCAGAGCCCACTGCCTGGTGACCAAAGGGTGTCTCAAATCTTCAGAAAACACAGACTGTGCCAGACTAGCATTCTTTCAGCCCCTGAGCAAGATAGTTCAAAGGGTAAGAAGCAGCAGAGAGAGCATCAGCGGCTGGGGGAAGGTGCAGACGGGCCGGGAGAGGCCCTCCGTTCCCGAGGGCCTGGCCTGCACGTCAGGGCCGCTGTGCTTGAGCGAGCGCAGTGCCCAGCACCCACCCAGCACGCACCCAGCACCCACGCGCCACAGCAGACACACAGGGCCTTGCGGCCACTGCACACTGCACACACATGAAGGGTGAAAACTGAGCAAGCTACACTGAGAAGGTGCTTAGTGTTTAGCACTGGGAAAAATAAAAATTAGAGAGCAAAGTGAAAAATTAATTCATGGACATCTGAACCACAAATAATCTATCCGAATTATAACATTTTAAAAAAATACAGACCACAAATTTTTCTAAAAACCTACTTGAATTAGGAGACTTAGGGCCATTTCTATGAAATGAAGTTTTTAAAGGCAGCTGTACAGTTTAGGGCAGTTAAAGCTCCAAAGATACCTAAACCTAACTTCCCAAATCTCTTCTTATCAATCTCTCCATGTGTCCTGAGAGCTTCCTACACTAACATCTAGTAGACGAGACACTGAGAAGTACTTCAGTGCACACCACACCATCTCAAAACATTCCCTGCAGAAGCAGCTCTTCCTGCAGCAGTCACCATGCAACACTTAGCTAAGATGAAAAATATTTTTTTACAAGGTATTTTAAACAGTCATACAGGATCTAATTTAATAAAAACTGTGAAACAAATATTGCTTGGGCATTTCAAATAAGGTCATTTTGGTTGAAATAAAATTTACACTAACATCTTTCTAAGCTACCAAATAAGGAAAAGGAAAAAAAGAAAAAGAAGAAGAAGAAGACACAGATACTGCAAACCCAAGGTTTTGTTAACCAATACTTTAGGACACTTAGAAAAGTGAATAGTTTATTACTTGTTATCTTTCAGGACTGCCCTTATTGGCAGGTATTTATGTTTTCATCATGGTTGAAGAAGCTGCTTGGAAGCAGGTGAGCTGCAAGTGCATGCTGCTTTTGAACTTGTTCAGAAGCTCTTCCAGTAACCTGCAGGGAGGAGACAGTATTTTACAGCCTGACAGATGGGTGGCCTGGTGGCCTAGCAACACAAGAAAACATACCCGGGAGTTAGGGGCCTGGCTCTGCCTGTGCTTGCTGTTTTTAAAAGGGAGCTGCAAAGTTTCTATCTATGGATTCTTAATAACAGAAATAAGTCAAAGAAGCTAATCAAAAGGGACATGTTGACACACATATTTATGTTTGTATATGAAAATCTCCTTCTTGTCCCCTCACCCAAATTAAATTACTACTCCCTAAACCAGACTGATATTTGAGCCTCTTCCTTTTTTAAAAAAATTCACTTTAAAAAATTTACAAACACTAAAATTCACTCTTTTTGTGATGCAGTTCTGTAAGTGCTGACGCACGCGTGAAGCAGCATGGCCATCCTGCAGTGAGGGCGCAGGGCAGCCCAGCGCCACAGACCCTCAGGCCGCCCCTCGGCAGCGCCCGCCCTCTGCCCCATCCCCCAGCAGCACTGCCGGCTTTCCGTTCCTCTAATTTCATATTTTGTCTTTAATAAATATTGGAGAGTGGTCAGTTAATCGCCGGGGCAAGCACGGTTTGTTCTAATTCTAATTCATTCTGGGCAAACCATTCTGCTGCTTGACATCTCCACTGACCACTGGTCTGATACATTCACATAGCTTTAAAGGAGGGTGGGATCTTAGCACTCGCTTGGTTCAGACAGAGCAGCAAGAATGGGCCACACAGGACTGGGGTCAGGAGACTATGCGTGGTCCAACAACGCTCATGTCAGAACACTGTCCCCTAGCAAATCTAAAACATAGTCCTGGTCCAAGACTATTTCAGGGTGTCTGTTGTTCTTGACTCCAAGAAACTTGTTCCACATATTAACAGTGGTTGTTTTAATCGTTTATCTTATTTATTTTAAAGAAATGAACAGAGTTTGGAATCAATTGAGATAGAGGGTGGAAGTCAGCGAGGGAAGAAAGCAGCAGGGAAGCGGAAGAGAGGCCTGTTCGTGTGGGCACTGTCTGTACGGCTGCCACATGCCCACGTGGGACACGCACAGGGCTGTGTGAGGACCACACCTGGGGAAGGGCTGGCCCGCTGCCCGTGCACACTGCTGCAACTGGCAGTGTCCTAGCACTGGCCAGCCCCAGTGCTCTCTGCTCTCGGGGTTTCCGAGGGGATCACCATCCCTGCCCGTCCCACAGCCCATGTGCCACGAGTGCTGGTCTGCAGCTCCACTGGCCTCATGCAGAGGGAAGTGGACTTCAGCTGGGGATGGTGGCAGAGCAGACCTCCACTGTTCCCGCCCTCACTGAGGGCAGGCTGGGCATGTATGAAATGACCTGGCCCAGATTCTCTCTCGGGTTAGTTCCCTGTCACACGGGCAGTGAAGCTTAAGCTCAGGTCGTGTGATGAAATGTATACAACTTTATTATGCTGTATGTAGAAATCTTCTCTTGCTTAATACTTTATATTTTATAAAGCACAAAATGTTCATCACTAAGCTACTCAAAGAAGAAAAAAATCCTGAGTCCTGCATTTTACTAGGCTGTCTTCTTTTTTACATGATCTTCTTAAATATATAAGCTAATATAGTTTACTGAATAAGTCTGGACCAGTCACTTAAAACAAGGAAAGAACTAATTTCTAAATTATCCTAAACCCAGAAGAAAAGTTTTACTTTATTTTATTCTATCATTTGGAAGATAAGCAAGGTACCAGAGACAGACACACCTATTTAGGGCCATTGAGTATGGCTCTTCCTTAAATCCAAATCAGTATTGTTGTTTTTAAAGGTACTTCAGGTAACAAAACCTGGTTCAGCACACCTGACTGTCTCCTGAGGGTGGCAAACGGAACTTACTTTTTATCTGCTCCACTTGAAAGCTGAGGCAGGGCTTCCAAAGCCTGTTTAAAACTAGACCTGGAACAAACAGCAGCACGTAAGCACAAACATTCATGGTTCTGAGGGGAATTACAAGGATCACTAAAATATTCTTAAGCATATCTTAACTACAAAGAAACCAATATAAGCCAGTGAAGCGAGTGGAAATACGAGAAAAAGTAAAAGTGAAAAGCAATAGAAAAAGTAAAAGTAAAAGTGAGGGCATGCTTACTGGTAGGCGGCTTTGTGGGAGTATGGCCAGAAAAACTCGACTAGGAAATGACATGCAATTGAAAAGCTAAAGGAGAAACTGACTTATCAACAACAAAAAAGGGTGCTACTCATGATAGATGAGAGCTTAAGATAGAAATATTTATTTTAAAAGTCTTCAAAACAAAACAGAACTGCAAATAAAGCAACTGGTAAGGAAGAAGAAACTGAGTGGAAACAGGGATGCCGTGTGAATGGCCACACGCACTGGGAGGCCACCGTGTCTGCACGGACAGGGCCTGGTTACAGCCACGTCTTATGATAGCTGGACAGTTTGTACAGGTTAGCTATTTAAAACCTATATGGAAATGAAGAAATGTATATATACTTTAAAAATTCAGCATTCGTTGTTTAAATGAAAAAGGTAAAAAGGAATGAATTTAAAACTTATTTGGGATGTTTAACTTTTAACAAGTAGAAAGTAACAGAATTACTAAACTAAACCAAAGGAATCACAGGGAGACTATTTGGTAACAACTTGTACTGTACCATCGCTAAGGAACAGTTACTACCTTTTGTCTCTTTCAGGAATGACTGACTAAGGTGAAGAAGTAAAGGTAACTATTCTTGACTTGAAGGCTGTCTTTCATTTTGTATTGTGAAAACATCCTCATCAATCTACCAGGAAATACATTTTTGAACACTGTTCCTCAAACTAGGGGCAGGTGTCACAACAACATGTAGAGAGACTGAGAAGTCCCAACAGTCATGGAATGGGCTTTGGGCATCTGCACTTGCTCCTGGGGGCAGAGGGTGGGGCCCTGGGGCAGGCTGCTCGCTGGCACACTTAGGGCCCCACACCCTGCGTGCTCTCCCTTCGCTGAGGTGGAGGGAAGCCGCCCCATCTGTTTGTTATGAGCCTCTTCCCCATAAGTGAAGGCAATGCGATGTTGCTGTCCTTTATCTTGACATCATGACAATAACGATGATAAAGATTTCACTACTTATTACTCGCAGGGCACAAACAGTTGAGAAGATGACTTGAACGTATTTTCTCACTTAATCCCCTCGAAACTTTGCCAAGAAGGTATTTTTATCTTCCTTTAATAAATGAAGAACTTAGGCTCAGAAAGTTTAAGTTATTGGGAAGAAACACACAGAAACACAAAGTGCACACACATCGGGTGTGGACTGGGTGCTTTCTGTCCTCTGCGCAGCACTTCGTGCAGGACAACGGTCGCTGGGAAAAGATGTGGTTATGCAGTGAGCACTGGAGCCACCCAGCAATGGCTCTGGCCATGATGAGCAGGACTGAGAAGCCAACTTCATTTGTTGAGAAAAAATTTAAAGTCTTTCCAGTTGCAATGAAGACAGTAAGAATGATGGTGTGAGCCATGCTATCAGATGCTGGAAATAAAACAATTAAGTATATTATACAGCATCTGTCCTTAAACATTTTATTTGCACACTTGGCTTCTCAGGCACATTAACAATATATAAACCAGTATTTCATAGGTAATATTGCCAATGCAATAAATAATTTTGCATAGGCAAATAGTAGTTCTGATTCACTTCACCTACTTTCAATGCTAGGAAATCCTGACTTTCATTCAAAACAACTAAAAATTATCATCAAATTTCCACTACAAAATTTTGCAGAGAAACCACAAGGCTTCCTCTTATACTGATATTTACAACACTGGAACTGTTCTTCAAAGTCTGCTATGAATAGATTAAGACTCAATTTTTACTCTCTCCTTTTTAAAAGAAGTATTTAATGCTTTGCTACATTATTTATAAGGCTAAGATTTATCATTAGTGAATGAAAACTAAAATATTAAACCCCTTTTCCTTTATATTGTGCTACAAAGAAGCATCCCTTGAAAGTTGCTGGTTTATTGTAGGTTTATGGTTCTTAGCTAAAATTTGAGCAAACATAAACTTTTTCCCATCACAAATTCATGAGCATTACTCTGATAAGTTATCTTTACAAAAGATATCATACACAAGTAAAACAACCTTTATTTTTAATAAAGCACTCAGAACTAAAGAACACTGTATCTTACTTGCTTTCAGGAGTCAGGTAAAGAGCCACAGTATCTCGCAAAGCACAGATTTCGAGTCTCGCCTGAAGATAAGGATAGAGTGACAACAGGAAATATATCAATTACCAAACATACACACGTACTGAGGAGAACGGTCTCCAGCCTGCTTATCACAGGACAGGGCTGGCATAATACCACCATGGTGACTATGAGTTGTAAATGGTCCAAAGAAATTGGCTATCACAAAATTTCCTTTTACTGAAAGTTGAATTGTAGGCAAGGATGACTGTGTGACTGCAGGGAGCTAGAGATCTCAACATGAAAAACGCAAACTGTGCAATGACTCTCCAGCAATCTGTGTTTATCATCTAACCAGTAGTTTTTCATTTAGTCTGGCTGTGAGAGGAATGAAACTCAGAAACACTGCCCCTGAAAGGTCCACTTCCCCAGAATTAAGGACTTGGTGTGGCTCGCTTCTTTATTCCTATGCCCTTCCAGGCACACTGCCTTAATCTCAAAAGCTAAACTACTCTCTACAAAGTCAACACAATCCCTATTAAAATCACAGCCACCTTTCCTTTAATGGAAGTTGACAAGTTGATAATTGACATATTTTCCATTCACATGGAAATGCAAGGGAAGCAGAATAGCCAAAGCAATCTTGAAAAAGAGTAACATATTCAAAGGACTCACACTTTCTGATTTTAAACTTACTATGACAAAGCTACAATAATCAAGACAGTGTGGTATTGTCATATGGACAGATATATACATTACTGGAACAGAATTGGGAGTCCAGAAATATACTCTTACATTTATAATCAACTGATTTTCAACAATGGTGCCAAGACAATTCAAATGAGGAAAGAACAGTCTCTTCAACAAATGGTGCTGGAACAACTGGATATCCACATGCAGAAGAAGGAAGTTGAATTCATTCCTTAACACAAAAATTAACTCAAAATGGATCACAGATCTAAATGTAACAGATAAAACTATATAGGATGGCTATAATCAAGACAGACAATAACAAGTATTGGTGAGGAGGTGGAGAAAATGGAACCCTCATAAACCGCTGGTGGGAATGTAAAATGAGGCAGTCACTTTGGAAAACAGCCTGGCAGTTCCTCAGAAGATTAAACACAGAGTAACCATATGACCTATCATTTCCACTCCTTGGTATATACCCAAGAGACATGAAAACATATGTCCACAGGAATGTTCACAAGTATTTGTATTAGCCAAAAAGTAGAAAAAACTGAAATTTCCATTAACTGATGAATGAATAAATTAAATGCGGTATTTTATACAATGGTATATTATTCATCCATAAAAAGGAATGATGTACTAGTACATGCTACAACATGGATGAATCCTGAAACATTATGCTCAGTGAAAGAAGCTGTCACAAAAGGCCATATTTGTATGATTCCATTTATATGAAATTTTCACAGTACATAATCACAGAGATAGAAAGCGGATTAGTGGCGGTCTTTAGCAGGGACAGCAGGCGTGGGGGTCAGAGAAAAATGGTCAGAGATCTCTTTTTGGGGTGGTGAAATGCTGATAACTGGATAGCTCTGTGAACATACTACAAATTGCTGAATTGTATACCATTTTTATATTATAGGCAAATTGTATGGTACATAAAATAAATCTGCATAAAATTTTTAAGAGAACAAAGCTAGCTTTCACTTTTATCAAGCTTGAAAAAGTGTGATCAGACCTACACAGCAGTGTCCCTGGAGCTCGAGCAGAGCCTTGGTGAGGATGCATCCACATACAGTGGATACTCTTTGAGGAGGTGCCCAGAGAGTGTCTAAAAGGAACTGCCCTATTCTCAAGGAGTGGACCGAATATAAAGCAATGACAAAGGACATAGCTGGTTGTTACTGCTCATTAGAAATTCTGTAAGCAATCTAGATAAAAGCTGATAAACATCAGATACAGTATAGATACTGACCATTTCTAGTTGGAAAGCAATTGTTTGGTTCCATTTTTTCACTGCTTTAAAAGGCTAAAGAATAGTTTGTAATAGAAAGTTACAAATGCTATAAAGTGTGACAATTTCTGTCCCTATTGTTTATATTCTAGGGTAGATACAAACAGACCAGCAAGGAAAACATCCGAGAGAGAAAAATAAGGCAGAACTTTTAGCTGAATATTTTAGGAGAAAAATTAGATCATTGTAAAACCAATCTTCAGGTAGAAATTTTCTTCAATCGAAGTTAGAGGGTATTTTAATTAACTTATGAATTATGCCAATTATAAAAGCTGTGGTTATTTATATAGTACACATAAAATTGTAATCCAGAAAACATCATGCTAAAAGACCAGCTAAAATCACCGAACTGTCACTCTCTTCCTCTGTAAATTGGCTCTCAGGAAGGTTCTGGGGGTTGGCATTTCACACTATTGAAGATTAACCTGCTATCCTTCTCGCTTACCTCTCTAAAGAAGGAGACTCTCACAGTCACTCTCAAATAGAGAGGGTGATGGGGGCTTAGACTCGGCTGAACTTTTGTGAAACAAATGCCTGCCTCGTCCCTTGGAGGTATCAGAATATTGGAGGTTGGGACAGTTATGAAGGCCAACAATCTCTTGGACATATGGATACTGAAAAAGCTCTCCAGCTGATTATGATATCTCTTTCCAGCCTTTCCCTGATAGCTTTGAGAGGAATTTTGCCATCAGATAAATGGGTTACAGAGGTAATTTTCAGAGAGGGCAGATTTTTGTTCTAATTCCAAGATTGCTGAGGCCCACTGTACTGTAACTTCCTTTAATTCATCTTCCATATTGCACAATTTCCACTACTGATCTCCTGTGATGGAATCATGATCTTTCAACTTAAACTATAATACCAAAGGTCCAATAAATCAAATTTTTAGAGAAAATTAGTAGCAAATGGAAATATAACAAGTTTTTGTAACAGGTTTTCCTCTAACCAAATTAACAAGTGCTCCTCCATTCCTTTTTCCCCTAATACGTATTTTATTATGAAAAATTTCAAATGTATAGAGACTTCAAAAGAATTTTACAGTGAACACCTATATACCCACCAACTCTGCCATTAACATTTATTTGCATTGCCACTTAATCCATCCATTGTATTGCTTTGATATATTTCAGCATGCATATTATTAGCTAGAGTGGACTATTTGTGTCAGTTCTTTTTTTCTTTGTCGTGAGTTAAAATTTACACACTGCCCAATGGACAAATTTCAAAGAGTACTGTCTGATGAGTTTGGCTGATACATACACCTGAGTGATGAAGCCCTGATCGCGCTGCACCACTCTCCCTGTGAAGCTCTCTCTTGCCCTTCCTAGTTAATCCCACCCACCCAGAGGAAACCACTATTCTGAGTTTTCCTACTACTAGTAGTTTTATCTCTTCTAGAACTTACAGAAATGAATCCACATGGTCTATGTGTGTTCTGTGTAAGGCTCCTTCACTCTGGCATAATGCCCCTGAAGTTCACCGTGCTGATTCAGTACTTGGTTCTCTTTAATGCTGAAACAGTATGAATATATTATAGTTTGTTCATTCTACTGATGGACACCTGGGCTGTTTCCAGTTTTTGGCTATTATGAATAAAACCGCTATGAGCATTCTTACAAATTTTTTTTTTGTGTGTGTGAATATACATTTTCAGTTCTCTTGGTTAAATAACTAGGATTGGAACGGCTTGGTTATAGGGTATGTATGTATGTTTAGTTTTAAAAGAAACTGCAAAAGCTTTTCCCAAAGCAATTGTACTATTTTACATTCCCCAAAATGTGTGGGAGCTCCAGTTCCTCCAGCTTCTTGCCAACATTTGGTATCGTTAGTCTTTAATTTTCCTTATTCTGATAGACGTGTGCCCTACTGTAGCGTTAATTTTCATTTCACTGCTAACTAATTATGTTGACCATCCTTTCATGTGCTGACTGGCCATTCTTACCCTTTTGCAATCTAATTAACACGCATGCTAGACCTTCTGACATAGTCCCAGGAGACCTTGGAGCTCTGTTTATTTATTTTCACCAATTATTCTTCGTTCTGTTCTTCATGTTGGATAATTTCTATTGGTCTACAAGTTAACTGACTTTTCCTTTGTCTTCTCTATACTGCTATTGTTACCATTAAGTAGATTTTTAAAAATTCATATACTATATTTTCCATTCCAGAATTTCCATTTAGTTCCTTTTTCAGGGTTTCTACTAATATTCTGTGATGAGATTTTCTCCCTATCAATTCATTAGGAGCATAGTCTTTACATCATTGAACACATCTGTGTTAAAATCCTTGCCTGCTAATTCCAACAACTGCATCTTAAGGTTGGTCTCAGCTGACTGTCATTTCTATTAAGCGTGCATCACGTTTTCCTGTTTTGTTTGTGCATTTCAATTAAATTAAATTTGTAACTTGGACATTATGAATGTGATGTTGTGGAGAATCTGGACTTTGTGATATGCCTCTCAGGACTGTTGGTTTTTATTTTATTTGTCTTAGCAAGGAATGCACTTATTTCAACTCAAACTTAAAACTCCTGGCTCTTGGGCAGCAGTTCAATTCTTTCTTCAGTTCTCACAGCCATAGCTGGGCTGGCTGCAGTGCAGAGTGACCATGCATATGTTTCTAAGGAGCCAACCAGTGTACACACAGAATATGTGGCTCTTGCACTCTACTCTCTGGACGCCTCCCTCACTTTCCTGTAGTGACTGCCCCCAAACCTATTCTTCAAGCTGGCAAGAAAACAGGTTTTGTTATTAGGGTTTTTAGGGACCCCTGGGCCTACTGCAGGCTAAAACCCACAAACAGCAGGAGATTTACCCAAGTGCCATTTACTTCAGAATCTGCCCACTAATAGGTGGTGGTGTCTTCAGGGTTTTTAAAAATCAATTTAGAATATTTTATTTTTAGATATTATTCAAGTTTACAGTTATCTGTGGAAGGATAGACTTATAAGCACTTTCTCAGCCATCACTGGAAGCAGAACTGCCATGGTTTTTTAAAACACACTCACAATGCTCCCAGTGCATGGAGAGTTCACAGGTAGGAGGTCACTCTTCTACATGCCGCATGCCTTGGCACCTACCAGTTGGCTTACATGTGTGCCTATGACCAACAGGTTATAGGAGTCACACCTCTTGTAATTATGCAACTTAAACAAATGAGATAGCTATTTGTTGTTTCTATGCAAATGGCACTGAATGCTTTGGAAAGACTTACTAAAAGTAAGATGCTAAAAATTTCCTGTAGAATTGAATGTAGTGAAGATGACTGTACAATAAAAAGAAAAATCACAAAAGTTTTGAAGGAATCTGCATTCAGATAATTTCACAGGAATTTTTAAGGTCTTGCTCTACTTTAAAGAAACCAACTCTGGAACTTGTAGACAATGAGTCATGGGTATAGCTAATGCAAGAAAGAATATGTACATCTCTAATCAGTAGATCCATTTAAAAAAGACCTGTCTGTGTATCATAAGATTGATGACTAAAGTACACATATATGTTTTAAATAAAAATAAAAGTTCAACAAGAGATTGAATGATTTTGGTACCTGTAATGCTCCATTTCTGCTAAAGGTTGAAACACACTGCATCAATCGACTGAGCTCTTCAGAAACTGCTTCTACCACTTTGGATAGTACCCGAGGCACCAATTCTTTGGAAATAGTGAACACCTGATGGAAGGTTTAAAATAAGAAGAAATGGTTTAAAATAAAAAAAATGGTTTTTACTGACTTGAATTTGTGAAAAACAAAGTAACATTCAAAACAAAAAAATTCACAGGTTTTCTAAGTCATATTTTTAAAAAACAAAAGTTATGAGTGAAAGGAAAGAAGGAATTAAATACAATTTAATACAGACTTAAACTGTATTAACTATTAACAACAAAAAGTAATTCTCCTAAAAATTCAATATTGGCAAATACAATTTTGAAAGGCATTATTGATGTTAACAGAATAAAAACTTTTAAAGATTCTTCTTCTTCTTGCCCCTTTCACAAGAAAGAAATATGATTTCTAAAGAGGAATTTACAGAAATAAAAACATACTGGGTCATTATTTTACCATAACATGACAAACATTATTTCTTATGAAGTACACAATTCTGTATTGGATAACAAGCTCCCCAATTTCACTGTATGCTGTACTAGATATATATTGCATTTTTTTGACTAACAAAATTAATTTCAAACTGTAAAACCTGACACTTTCAAACTGAGATTATAGTTGGAGTTATAGTGAAACATTTTACTCTCTTGACTTATAAATTAAAGTCAATCATATTTTCTTTTTGAGCTTTGAGCTGCTAGTATTACACATATGGGTCGACACAAACATAATTGGAGTGTTTGAGAAAATTTCTGGCAATTTAACATCATGTAGCAAACTGTAAGTAGTAAACGTTATGAATGGAATTCTGCTTTCCAACATTGGGCTAAACTCACTTTTCGTTTAGGGGGCTTGAAGAGCCTAATATTTACAAATAATCTCATGGTGATCGATAATGGACATTAATCAAAGCTGCCTCATTAGGAAGCAGCACCACCGTAACAATCCCACAGATCTCACGGTGCTCTGCCCACCTGCCACAGAAACGCTTCCATTGACTGAAGACTTCATTTAGGCTCTGTGTAGGGACCTAACAGAATAGCATTTTAATGTTTTTGATATAAATCACAGTTTAAAATCTTATTGATTATAAAAAGAGCTATGTGATGAACTCCTACCCAAGTTAAACCATATAAATATTTTTTTTAATACAGGAATGTATACACTTCCCTTTTATTAAGAACTGAAAACTGTAACATACTATATTTTTTCTTTCTGCTCTAGGTGCTTCAAATTTAGAGTCAAATTCAGGAACCTGGTAGCATTATCTTTGTTTCTTTGGTCACTCTGTTGTTTTAGTCTTAATTATCCATGTTTTTTCAGTTTACCCTGATGGACCTCTGTTGGATGCACAATGCTTAAGAGGCACTCCGAGCAACAGTAGAAATTAACTAACGGTAATGCCTTGCTCTGCCCCATTTTATCTGGTCACCCATCAGTCTGTGGGCCACAGCTACTCTGAAAGCAGTGGCAAAGCAGTGAGTGATGGATTGTGAAATTACTGAATGAAAACAGGTAGTGGCCGTGGGGATTATAGTAGCAGCTCTGGACTCTTCTTCCAGTGTTCCTCAGAAGAGTCCCCTAACCAGAGTGTCAACTAATGATGTTAATATGAAGTTTAAGATGATAAACGCTTCAGGTGGGGGCAAGTTTTCACATGAACCAGAAGCAGCAACATCTGCATGAACCGAAGTAAGCCACTGACAGGAAACCCTGCATCTGCTTCCCAGCCACAGGCTGCCCTCGAGCCTCTCTTTCTAACCAGCCTGTACCTTTCTGGAATCCCAACCGCCGTGTGACACCACACTGCTACAAGAATGAGACACCAGTGCTTATGTGTACACTGGCTAAAAAGAGGTTAATGCCTTTTCCAAGGTAAGGGATTTAACACTCTTTAAAGGAAAAACATCCTTTCAATCTACTTTCTCTTTACGTCTCAAATATTAATGAATTTAGTTTTAATTATCAGAGAAACATGTACAATTTCAGAAAAAAGACTCACAGTTAAACACAAGAGAGAGGGAGGGAAAGAGAGAGAGCTAGCACGCATGTGCGTGAGAGCAAGCCAAGTTATGTTTTATTTATACCTAAGACATATTCAGAAGGGAAGAAAAGACCACCATAAAAACCATGAAATTTGTGTCTTTTTTTCCAGTTATCTATCTCAGGAACATCTAATGATAGCTTACCTCTGCATGCACGGCAATTATATTCACCAATGCTTCTTTTAAATAGTTTCTGACACCTGAAATCAAGATGGGGAGGGAAACAGGCATTTAGTGGAAACACAAGCTCCCGCCCCTGCTGGCAACGCTGTGCCGGGTGCACTGCCTGAGTTTTCTGAGGAGAAACAGAAAGTAACACCACCACTATCTACTTCCTTTTGAGAACCAAATGGTGAAAGGACTATTTCCATTCAGGTAAAAACAAATGTTGAATTAGTTATGAGTTTTCTTTCACTGCTTTTCATTTCTGTCACTGTTTATGCTGTCTATAACTGGTGGTCAGTTGGCCTCAAAATGAACATTTAAAAAATGCCTTTCAATTTCTTCATATATATACATATAAAATATACAATAATATATACCTGCTAGTTGTGACTTTTAGCAAGAAGACTGCATGCCTCCGTTTTCTCGCCTATCAATGGATACAATAACGGTACCCGTCTTGCAGGGAGAGTGAAGCTGAAAGGAGATGAAGCATGCGGTAGGCCCCGGTATTCACAAAGCTCATTAAGAGCTTTCATCATCATTATTTTGCAAGGAAAAAACCCATAAAATCAAAATGCTGCTTTATTGTAATTCCAAAGCAATTTACTTCCACTTGGAGCGGAATATTTCAGAATGCCTTCTAAAATTAACTGCACACACTTAGAATACCTTTTCTATAGAAGAGGGAAAATTCTGCATTGTAAAATCATGGATGTCAACAGTAATAATGTTAAGGATAACCGTCTCCCAGAATCGCATCTGATTATTTAGGAAAGTTAAGACAGAGACCAAGCACTATAATTAACTCTTTGAACTGGCATTTGCAGATTCTAAATATTTGACTAGTTTCTGATTCTATCACGCACTGTGGTGTATAAATAAGTATACTGTTTTTCTTTTGAGGAGCCCATTTCTTAAATACATTCATTTGGGATATGAAGGTTCAGGTGTTATTAATCCTATTTTGCTGCTGGAATAGCTGAGAAAGCTGAGTGAAGAGTAATTAAATACAATCCAGAAATGAACTGGTTCTTCCTGAGAAAGGATAACTGCAAGGTAAGAAGTCTTACATGGCAGGTAGGAGAGAAGAACAGAAGGAGCCTATTACAAGTGAAAGTGAAATGAACTAACTTGTGCTGGAGACCAGAGCAGCTCTCTTCCTGTAGGAGGAAAGCCGCACACAGAGATGCCCGACGTCTCCGCTGCAGCCAGGGCTCCTCTGCTGCGGCCCTCTGGGCTGTCCCCACAGCACACAGGCAGCAGGCGCCTGCCACCGCTGTGCTCAGGACAAGGGCCCTGGGACTGCAATCCCATGGAAGACCAGCCCATGTGGACAGACAGCTGACATAAGATATATGCTAAATACACTAAATACTAAAAACAAAAACACAATAGTAGGCCAATGATGGTCTAAGGATCTAAGAATAAAAAGATGCAGCAGCCTCTGCCTTCAGTGAGAACTGGGGTCCTGTCAATTTTACTGTGAGAACAAGTGTCAGGAGTTTGGGTTCTAACAGCGTTGTAACAGTGATGAATGGAAATGTGAGGGCAGCTTCTAACTTTTAGAATTCCTCAATGTAAAAGAGAAGAGGGAGACAAGTGCTGACTAAAAAGCAGAAAATTAAACTTAGAATGAAGCAGGGCAGTGTCACATGCTCAGTGACAGTGTGCTGCAAACTTGACTCCCACTCTGACCCTGGGAGGAAATCATTTCCTGGCAAGAGTCCCGCAGCCTAAGCATTACTAACAAAACACCTTGTAAAGGAGATTGATCTAAATCACTCAACGCGATTCTAAAGACTAAGCTGTGAGTAGTAAGAATAAAAGAACAGGCCACTTTCAACCAAAAGAACTATATTTTTGTTGATAGAAGATTTGAAAAAAGCAAGCTTCCTGTTTTAGGTGGACCACAGTTTTTGCATGGATAATATATTTTAAGGACCTAATGGGCTTAATTTTGGACAAGAAAGAAAATTTTGTATTTCTAGGAGATTTTATCTTTATGAATAGAAAAAAAGAGAAATAATTGCCTTCTTTTCCCATCAAAACAAAAAATAACTGCTTCATATCAAAAACTGTGCTAATGTTGGAAAAAGAGAAGGGAAAAAACTGTGGTGCTAGGGGTGGACAGAAATAGGGCTCTTGGTCAAACCACACATCAGGCCAGGAAGGTTCAAAGAGAGGGTCTGAAAAGGGCCTGCCAGCAGAGGTGGAGCTCCATGAAACACTATTCTAACCTCCAGAAGCAATGCACGTCCTGGAGTTATAACTTAAAAATAAAAACTTTAAAACATGAAAATAAATCATTGATTGCCTCTCCCCAAAAATCTACTCACTGAATTAAATACAGAAGCAAGGAAATGGATAAAAGTTCTCATTCATTCTTTAACGCAGGGTGTTGTGACCCTGCCACATGGCGGGCAGCAGCTAGCACGGTCAGAGGTGGTCGGTCGGGCACCAGGTCCTCCGATAACATGTGTGTACCCCGTATGGATAAGCCCCCAAAGTACTCAGTCATTAAAAGTTTGACCTGCAAATATGTGCAGGATGGCTATATAAAAGGATCACATGTTGTAAATGAAATCTTTGTACTTCAATTTAAGATAATTTGTGAAATGTTCAAGTTGCTATCTTTATTTTGTGAAATCCGTAAATGGCTGAAGAACAGCACTTGGGCAGGGCGGACAAAGTCAGGGCAAAGGGCCCACAGACTAGACGGGTGCACGCCTAAGAAACTGATGAAGTCTCTGTGGTCTTCCCAGCTCACAATTTCAATTCCTGTCTCCTCACTTGTCTGCAGGGCAGTGGAGCACACCCCCTCGCCTCCCTCCACGCGGAGACATGCCCTCAGAACACTGCACTCTGATGCACTTCTTGGTCTGAACTGCCTGCCGAGTCTTCTGTTTCAAAACGTTGCTCCAAGTCCCAAGTGTGGGAAGATGCCCGCTCTTTCAAACACCTGCTCCCAAAGCCCGCGACGGGCGGCACCGGGGACAGTCCCCAGCGAGCAGGCAGTGGCCACCACACACTGCAGCTGGCTGAGGCCGCCAGCGCTGGGAAACGCGAGTGGGTCTTGCCTGTGGCCTCACAGCCTCTTCCTTCAACAGGAGGGTTGGATGCAGAGGGCGAGACGGAGGGCGGAAGAAAGCTAGGGGAGACCAGCCGGAGGGGGAGCCTGGAGCTGTCTGGGAAGGGCGGTCTGTATGTGCGCTGCCAAGACAGCTGGGCTGCGCAGGGCAGAAAGGAAGCACAGGACGAGCTCAGCAGGACCTTGGCTGTGGCGCCTGCGGACAGGACCGGAATCCAGGTTTTTGGCTGCAGCACTATTTTCAAGTCCACGGCTGTGACAAAGGAATCACACTGCAGTCAATTTGGGTGGTATATGTTCCCTTCCCACCAAATTTTATTGTAATCTTACTATTACTAACATTGGCGGTTGATAATTCCTTTTAAGTCCATCAAGGTGGACGGTGAGGACACCTGAGATCCGAATCCTGGCTTCCCGCACACAGCCACGGTCACCTTTCAGATAACTGCCTCCTCTGCGAAATACAGAGATGACAGTATCTGTTTTGCTAACAAACTGTTATGAAAATGTCATCTGTATGCATTCCTTCATTCTCCCCACATGTGCTGTGTACCTATCATCTGCTAGGCACTGGTGGTATATGAAAGTGAGCAAAACAGATATGACCCCCATCCTGTGGAGCTCACAGTTTAGTGGGAAGGAGCACTTGATCAATTCTAAAGCAGTGCACATAATTGAGGTGTTACTTTCTTAAAGACATAATAGTTGACTAAAAGGCAAGCTAACTAGAAAAAACACATGGTACATAAGTTTGGACAATCAGTCCTGCCATGACTATCTTCTAGTTGCAGCAGGCCTTAAATGCAGGTTCAGTTTGAGTGGTACAAGGAATTGCTTAACAATTGAATTTGCATATAAGAACATGACAACAGCAAAAAACCCAGATACAACATCAAATGTGACTGCAATCCGCTATAATTGGAAAGGTTTGTCTTTGACAGCACTCCTATTTTGCTAGTTTCAAGCAAAGTTCTTGGAAGTTAGAATTCTTGTGGAACTTTTCTGTCATAACTTTGCATTGGTTTTAAAAAGAATGGCTGAATGTCACATGTCAGTGATGGTCGGGGAAGACCTTGCTCCTGTGGTGACATCTTAGCCATGTCCTGAATGGAGGACCAGGGGAGGACACAGGCAGAATTAGATGGTGACCTCAAAAACATTACTAACTAATCAGTCACCTTGGGGCAAGTTTCCAAACTGCTCTGATTGGTAGCCTTTTCCTTTATAAAACAGAGATAACATTTATTAAATGACTTATTCTTTTTAAGAGGCTAGGGATATATCTGCCAGACAGCAGGCAGCCAATAAATGAGAAGTGTTAGGACTGATCCTGCCCCAGCCCCGTATTCCTAGGTGTGGCACGTGGATCACTTCTCAGATCCTTCTGGAGCGCTGTGTCCCCTGGAACAGTGCAGCAGCTTTACTATTATTTGTGTGACTACTCGATTAGCACCTGCCTCCCCTACTGGACTGTGCACTCCACCAGAGTAGGGATAAGCCGCCATTTTCTTTATCTTTGTATCCTCAGTGCCCATCACAGAGGCTTGCACATAGTTCAAAAAATATTCATGCTTAAAAATATTTATGTTCAAAATATTCAGGAATGCTCAAAAATATGTTCAGAAATATTAATGAAAAAATAAAAGGCAGCAAAGACTGTGTCTGTCTTGCTCACTACCATGTTCTTAGGACTTAACCCTCTAAATAAGTTGCTAAGTGAATGCATGCATGAATGCATAAGAGAAAAACTTAAATATATGTTGGATTCTGTAACATCTATAGTCAAAACATACTGGAGCTATTCACTACAAAGGTAAGTGCGTGCCTCAGTTTATGTGAGAAGGTATTCTGTGGTAGAGCATGCATTTCTCACTTCTCCTAGGATTTAGGAAAGCAAAGACAGTCCTTTTGAAATTAAGCATGAGGATCCATGTGAAAAATACAAGT